TCAATTCAAGAATTCATAACCAATCATTGTTCTTGTTTATTTATATCAAATAAAAGTTAGAAATAATAGATTGAGACTAAAGTATAGTCCTCGTGGGAACGATAATCCGGACTCTTAGGTCCACTTTATTACTTGTCACGATCCGTACACTTGCGGGATATAAAATTCGACAACAAAAAGCAATTGTAATACATAGGTATCTAAATATGGAGTCCTAAGGGATGAGTTTATCTTGTCTCATGACATCAATCCAATACACAATTGAATCCAATGTTTGGTACTTATTTGTAAACCCAAGACAATCTGCCTTTTCTCGACTCCCCAACATTTTGACTGGGCATTGGAACAAATTGTCCAGGAATTCCCAATTAGCCAAATCCTCCATTTCTGTTTCAACCAACCCCTCTTTCATCACTATCTCTTTCCATATTCCTCCCTTGTCACCCATAACCAATGAGTACCTCAAATCCGGACTGAAAGACTGTCTATTTACCCCCAACTTTGTGCCGATAGCTCCCCAAATTTTCTTCCATGTGTAGCTATCACCATTTACAGCGTTGAACGCTTCACCAATATTTTGGCTAGCTGCCCATATGTGCTGCTCAGCCACTAGCCGAGCATCTGAAGCATCTATATACATTTCTTCCCAACATTCCCTACTCCCTCCAAACACGAAAGGGATATTCAGACGATTACAGATTGTTCCATAAACACACAAACTACCAATGAAATTGAATAAAGTTCTTTGAGAACAACCCATCAGCAATCCAGGGCGATGAACAGACCATGCCACTTTACCTGCGCCTAATCTTTCTTGTAGCAAGTCCTCAAGCACGTAGTAAAAGTTATATCCTGTACTCACCCTTGGGCACTCCTCGTCATAATAACAAACATTGTCGTCCTTGGAAGAAAACAAATCTCCTTGCTGCAATGAGACGTAATGTTTAGCTCCCGTCTGCAGAGAAACATGTTTCAATGCCTTGGCTATTGGCAGTATTGCATCTAATGCGTTGCACATCATCAACTTATTCTGCTGGCAGCACTCCCGGGTGTCCAAAGGGAATTGGCTAGCCCAAGTTACCCAAAATAAATGAGTAACATCTTGTAATGAATATAGCCTTTCTTGAGTTTCAATAGGGTTAAGAAGATCACATGAAATGAAATGATAATTTGGGTGTTTGATTATAGTAATCTCTGCTCTTCGGGCTATGCCGTATACTTTCCATTTATCGGTGGAGAGTAGCTTTATCGTGAGCTCCTTTCCCACAAGCCCGGTCGATCCAAATATGACTGCTACACATTTATGACGAACTTCTTCTTCTTCTTTGGCAGGTGCCATATATAGTAGGACTTCAGTTTATCGAGTGATTGGTTTGCTCAATGCATTCGCAGATGGCATTGAACAAATATATAGCGTCTAAATTGGCTCTTAACAAGGGTTCAATACCTAATCAAATCCTCCATTAACCTTTCTAGAATGCTGATTTCAAACTTTCTCCTCACGTCTTCAATAATTTCATCAGTCAAATACGCTACACATTACTAGCCAGTAGGTAGGGTGCTTTTTAATCTTGTGTTATGAGCTTTATTTAATATTGTCTATATATACATATATAAAAGGGAAAATTTCATCCATGATTCACAGAACTTTCAGCAAAATTTCAATCGAGTTACTAACCTTTAATATGCCTCAGATAGGTCACTAACACTTTAGTTTAGTTTCTATTTGCTTAATTGATAGTCTAATTGTAACACACCTCTCACATAATCATCGCTTGACATCAAAATTTATCATTATCCTCCGTAGTACAAGTGTTAAAAGCAACTTTTAATATAAAGATATAGTCACAACTCTCATTCTTCAATTTTCGTTTTTACGTGACTTCGTAACGAATAAGTAAAAGATCATTTACGGCATGATAACTAAACAATTTTCGTTATTTTGATGAACAGTAAGTGACGAAATGCGAATTTGAAATTAAATTAAAATTGAGATACCGTAAATGAAATTAAACCTATACAAATATTAAATTGATTGCATAGTTGAATGGTTCCTAGGCAGACAGCTGGCATAACCAGCCGCTACATTGTTGGCATTTCAGTTGGAAGGAATTTTGTAAGATTTTGACTGCAATTATATAATTATTATTTTATTCAATGTTTTCCTTCTTTTGTTGCGACATTTGTTCCAATTAATTCATTAATTATACATGAATATTTAATTACTTAGTTGTCACGTGATCATTCATGTTAAGGCATGGCCACATGGATACAACACATGATTGAGACAGCTTGACAATCTTTGTTAACAAATACATTTGGACGTGCAGGGTTGAGGAACGGGAGATAATACTATAATCCTAAGTCAAGACTCAATACGATAATCCTAAGTAGCATATGTGGGTCTATTTTTAATTATTCGTTGAACTCGAATCAAAATGTATTCATTCTAGTTTCATTGAACGGATGGTAAACACTCTTATTAATGTATATGGCATTGTTCGCTGTAAAATGTTACTAATTAATCAAGTCGCAATGCCTTAGTGAATACAGTATTATGTATACGACAACAAAGAGACTTCAATAAGTGAAGAATTTTTTATTTTTTTTTAAACATGCTCATAAAACTGTATTGAGTAGATTTACTCAGGATAATTACTACGTAGTAAAGATGACGAACACGGAAAATTAAGCGAATTGTCCGCATTTCTATAAAAAAAAAAAAAAATTAAGAAACCAAAATATCATAATTTCATTAATTTTTTTAATCTGAAAGGAGTTTATGAGTATGTGCCTGCGCATTGTATTTTTAATTTTTATTTTTCTCATGGAAGAAATATAAGAGATGTGTTCAAGGAACATGGTTATTTTTCGATTCGCAAAGTCAGTATGCAGATCGACCTCCCAATGAGGACGTTGTGGGGGGTTGGAAGGGGAGCAAGAAGCCCTCCTCCCGGGGGTGTGGGGAGCGGGGCCCGAACTAAAATTTCATTAAGGATAGCTTGAAAATTTGTCTTGTAAATTTCATCTTAGAAAATTGCCTTTGTAAATTTTGAGTTTGTTCTTTTTTTTTTTCTTATTACCATCATGAAAGAGAGATGTTAGAGAAGGTAGATGTTTGATTTTTTTTGTAAACTTCTTTTTTTTTTTTAATCATCGTGAATTAAGTAATGCTATTTATCATCATAATGATGGAACATGATGCAACAACCATTATCCCTCACATCTCTCTCTCACACCCCTCGCTCTCATAAAAAAATGAATTGTCCAATTCTATTATTCTACATAGATCGCCATATCACCGATACTCCATCATCATAATGATAGATAATATTATTCTAGTAAATTACTACATTAATGAAAGATGACGTAGTATCACATTGAGATGAACCTCTACAAATCGTGTTTTTTTATTTCTTTCTACGAACTGATAGCTCTTGATAAAATAAAATCAGAATTTCTAATTCTCAACATGATGATGAGAGAAAGATGAAGATATAGATGTGAGCAAGAGTAAATCCAATAAAATAACTTCTAACCATTGCTTTCATCCTCAAAGCATGCCCCAGTTAAAGAGCATATTTACTTCTCTCTTCTAACCATCATTTTATGTGTGTAATTCACAACTTTCAGGAGCTCACAATGCTTATGCTTGTTTGATTTAAATTACAATCTCATTATTATAATTTAAATGTCAATGTAAAACTTTAATTTTAATTACACATTTCGTAGTACTCACAATTATTATCCACTTATTCACCACTCATTTCTATCAATTTATAATTTCAAAACAAATACAGAAACCAATTTGCACATTGATAAGTGCGTTTTCCAACTTATTTTGCCACATAACATGAATAATTATTGACAAAAGTGTTTGAATATTGCTTAATTTTGCTTAATTTCGTGTTGTAGCACTATATTGATAGATGTGGCAGAACTCAAGAGAAAAGATATGAAAAAGTGCTAAAATGGAAGAAAATGAAAGTTCAGGGTCCAAAGTGAAAATAGCCGAAAGATGATCTGAAGCACAACTTGAGAATGTAAATTAGCTAAGTCCTAATTTGATGAGTACAAAAGATGTTAGAAGAAGGAGAATGGAGAAAAGAGGTTAAAATGACAGAAAATAAGGTCAATGACTAAAATGACACAACCAGAAATTTGTCTCTACCATGCAGCCGCATGGTAGAACTATCCATGCGGTCGCACGAGCCTTGGCAGGGACTTCAAGTGTCCCAATTTTATGAACCATGCGGTCGCATGGTTGTTATCTGATGCGAAAATTCTGGTTTCCTTCTTTTTTTTTTTTTTTGTTCAAACATTTAAGGAAACGAATTTTCGGATAAATATATAAGCTGAGAGCCGTCAACAACGAGGGTGAATCAAAAACGGATTTTATGATTGTGTGAATCTGGTGGCATATTTCATGCATTCGAGAGAAGGGAATACGAGATAGAGATATACCTCTATGCCTTACGTGAATTTCTAAGTGTTCACAGAAATCCATGCATTCTTACATATTTGCAGTCGTCATAGGAATATAGTCGGATCGTATGTAAGAGTAGGTTCAACATTACTCGAGAGGGATTGTTGGATAGGTTAGGAATATTGATTCTTCAAAACTTCAACCGTGTTGTCAATTTGTAGAATTTGGATCAAAATAACCCTAGAACACACATTGAAGGAGATTTTGAGCCAAGAAGAGGAAGAAAAATACAAGATTGACGGGATTTCACGCATAACATTAATTCGGTGATGCCTTTTCTTCAATTATTTATGTGTTTTGTTATTTTCTTCATGTTAGACTAGATATTTCTGTACTAGGAGAATAATGAACCATGTAATGTGATCTTTTAATCCCGATTTTATAATTTTGACATTAAAACACGTTGTTTGAATTTGAATGATTTATATACAATTATTCTTCTCCATGATTATGTACGCATATGATTGTGTGAATCTGGTTGCATATTTCATGCATTCAAGAGAAGCAAAAATAGGCTGACAAGATATAAATCATCGTAGGGTCCAATACGGAATAGAGATATAGCCCTATGCCTTACGTGAATCTCTAAGTGTTCACATAAATTTATGCATTCTTACATATTTGCAGTCGTCATAGGAATATAGTCGGATTGTATGTAAAAGTATTTTCAACATTACTCGAGAGCGATTGTTTGATAGGTTAGGAATATTGATTCTTCAAAACTTTAACCATGTTGTCAATTTGTAGAATTTGGATTAAAAGAGATAATTGCATGAGAATTCATGATCCTAGTGCACCTTACATTCATTGAATTTAATAACTCATTTTCTAACATTATTTGCATTCTTGTTTGGTTAGTTTACTTGCAATCACTATAATAAATTAGTTTAATCATAATTTCCATTACAAAACAAAAGTGCTATTTTCTTGTTTCGGTTAAGGGTAAAATTGAACAAAATCAATTCCTCTGCGAACGATATTTGGAACTCCAAATTCTACTTTATTACTTGTTACGAATTGTACACTTGCGGTGATTTTTCTTATTCGAAATATATTTTCATGAACAAAGCAAATTCTACCGGAATCTTTTTGCTCATCCAGGATTCGAATGTATAAGAAAAGATAATTGCATGAACAAACAAGAGGGTTTTCTCATTCTTCAGCTGCACTGGCAGCACTTAAATCCACATTCAGATTAAGAACCTGCACCACAAACAAAATCAATCAGTATCCACAATTTGGGATTTCTTCCGGCAATTAACCGTTGAGGATTCCGGTTCTAAAGCAACTTGGTAATAATAGTTGCCTATCATAGATTGTAAAAGGAAATTTCAGTGCCTTCTGACAGAAAGGGCTATGAAATAATCAAAGGATTCAAGGAAAATAGGAACCTTCTAACCCTTTTCAGCTCGTGTTTGGTAACAAACCAGAAGAAATCTCCATGGTGGAGATCCTCTATGGTTTTGTCCCAAACCCCTAGAGAAGGGTGGAAAAGTGTAATTTAAGGCCTCACTTCTTTAAATAGTGTAGCCTTATGGATCTCCCTCTTCACAACTTTCACTTTCTGTCGATCATATTTACCTACAGATTCGTACCATATCCACAACCAGTGTGACATAGGTGTTAAAAATGCATTTGATGATTTTTGAATCACGCATATTAAAATTCTACTCAACTCGTGAATTTGTTACTGATGGGGCAGAGAATGATGCTAACATGGTTCAGTCTCAAGAGCCAGTTTTCAATAATTTTTCAATGAGGCATCAATAAAAGCAAATGAAAGACGCAAGAGAACCAAGCAAATTCCTAAATATGTGGACTGTCTGAGTGCATGATTATCAATTATTGCAAAGAAGTCCTATAACCATGAGAGGAAAGGGGAAAAAAAAAGGAACTGGGAGTTCCTCGTCTTTAAATTGCATTGAACCCATAATCTAACATAGATTTCCACCTTCCTTTTATTTCAACTTTGTCAAAAATTTGATGAGTTAGTTTTCCATTTGTCAGCAACAATAGAAAGAAGGGTCTGTCTGATGTACATTGTAACTTTGAAATAGTAAATAAACGAACAAATTAACTAAACAAAGGAGACAAGTGAATTCTTCAATTGGAGTGAGGTCGATTTATACCTAAAAAGCATAGTTATCCAATAACACAGAAAATGTATGATCAAAGGACAATAAGAAGACTTCCTGAAACTGTGTATGCAATGTTCAAAAGTTAACAACATTGATTCAACAATGTGTCTTCTCCTAATTTTATTTTCTATTAATTTGATGAATACAGTTTCTAACCAACAGGCAAGAAATAGAAAAAGGTATACAGCAAGCAAAGACACTATAGAAAAGCAGCAGCAACACCAGCAAAAAGCTAAGTTTTATTCTTAAGTTAATCCATACACACTTGAGGTCGAGCACAAATCTTTATTCGTCATCAGCACTACATCTAGTCAGAGATCAGTCAAATATTGTAGCAACCACCTAAATCATCTATTCCTAGGTCAAGTTTGGCTCTGCTTTATCGTTGCTTTTTCTAGAAAGTAAGGTAAGACCTACTTTCTAAAAAAGTTGTGAAGAAAAAAGAGACCTATTTTCTGAAAAAATGATTTGAAGAAAATAAATAGAATAAATTCAAGAATCATGTTGGACAAAATAAGTAAATCAGAAGCTTACTTTACTTTTACACACAAGCAAGCACGAGCTTAGTTAATTTTAAATTCAAGAATCATGTAATGGTCATTTTATAACCATTTTGCCATTTTAACTAACTGACACCAATGCCATAAAGCATTGTATGGTTTAGCCCCTGTTTGGGTCATATTATTTTTTTCATTCTCATTCTTCTACTCATTTTCAACCACACATTTTTCAATAAAATAATATTTTTCATCACATCAATAACCTTTCCTTCTTTTTCAATCACATATTCTCCATCACATCACTTCAAAAAAATGCATTCTTTCATTTTAATATGTACCAAACGGCTAATAACCTTTAGGCTATAATAGATAAGTATCTTCCTTCACATGGAATCATTTTTGACCAACCTCCTCTATTCGCCACAGCATCCTTTTCAAGTCATTTTTCCTAACTGATAAGATTGAACCAAAATATCTAAAATGGTCACTCTTTGGGGCAATGTGAGTTTCTATGCCAGTATGATCCCATCTTCATACTTTATATATCGTCTAATTCTGACTAAACTAAAACTTTAAATTGCAAAATCTTCGTCTAAAGTTCTAAAGATACACTCCTTATAAGGACTCTAGGCTGAAATGTTGATGCAAGCCTTGTAGCAATATGAAATTCTTAAACTGCTAGCCTGCTACTCTGTCTGCATCTCATACTCAGGATTGCTACTGCTACATCACACATATCCTTAATAATGTTAACATATTCAAAAGGAACTTGTTTTCCTCTAGCACCCATCAAAATTGAAAACCTAAATCAATAAAAAGTAAAAATCAATTGTAAAACTAAATTATTTTCTCTTTATTTTTCCATCAAATTTCAAAAATGGTCTCCTTAACAAATGTCCCTAATGCAAGACCAAAAAGTGGTTCTCTAATACCTTTGAGTTACACCTTAATCAGGGATCAATCAATCTCCCATAATTACATGGTATGACTGATTATCTTAACACCCTATACTTAAACAACCTTCAACAATAGTAATCTCTAAATAAGTTTTTGATACTCCATCTTTCCCACATTTACTAATTTACTCATTTTTTTGTGGGTAAAGACAATATATTAAAAAGGCCAAGATGCAAGCAAAACCTTACAAAATTCAATGAAGTCAAGGAAATAAAATCAATCAAGCATCAAAACCTTCAGCCCTACAAGAATCTAGTTATTTAGACATGTACAGCTATGAAGCCTATATTGTCTCGAAGCACAAGTATGGAATATTTTGTAAGAATTATAAGATCCCTTTGCTTATATGTTTCCTGGATAGATTGATTACTCGACGAGGAACATTCCATGTGTGTGTGAGAGAGTAGGAGAGAGAATTTTCATATAGTAATACTAGGTTATGGCTTTTCTATTGGATTTTATACGCAATAATATAGAACTGAAAGAAAGAAATCAACACAAGGATTTAATGTGGTTCAACAAAGTGATTACGTCTACAAGGAAAGATGCAGAGATATTTTATTCAATATGAATAACAGAGTTACATCATCAGTTTATATATTAACTCTAGTCATAGCCCATAAAACACTTCGGAGCCTGTACAAGAAAATGCCCTTGTAATGCCCCAGCACCCTCAACCTATTCAGCATCCGTAGCAAATAGACAGTAAATTAAACCTCGAGAGGCCGATGCCGTTGTTTCGTTCCGTTCCGTTCGGTACGTTCCGCCCTCTCACTCCGCTCCGGCATCGGCCTATTCTTACAGTAAACACGTGTTTCACTCTATATGAACTACATAAACAAAAATCTCCACCGTAGCGATTATTTACTTCTTAGGAGAAACAATGAAAAAAAAATAGCCCGAGAAAAAAACACCATCTGGGGACCAATACGTTGGGACACCTCATCTCTAACACCTAGAGATATTAATCAAGTTCAAGCAATGCTTGAACCTGTCCATTGTGATTAGCTTTGTCAACATGTTTGCTGCATTCTCTGAAGTATGCACCTTCTCTAGCAATAGTTCTCCTGAAGTAACCAACTCCCCTTATCTTATGAAATCTCACATCAATATGCTTGGTTCTTGCATGATAAATCGATTTCTTTCCTAAGAAAATGGAGCTTTAACTATCACAATATAGCTTCATTCTATCTTACTTGATCCCAAGCTCCCTGACAATCGCTCTTAACCACAATAATTCCTTTGCTGCCTTAATTGCTGCCATATACTCTGCTTTAGTTGTGGATAATGCCACAAGTAACTGCATCATTGATATCCAACATACAAGTCCCCTGCGAGTGTGAAAACGTAACTTGTATGAGACCTCCTATCATCCAAGTCGCCTGGATAATCCGCATCTACATATCCTTGAACTGAAACATCATCATGTTATCTCTCAAACATGATCCTAAACTCCATTGTACCTCTCAAGTACTTGAAAATCCACTTTACGGCTCTCAAATGCTCTTTGTCAGGATTGGCCATGTACTTGCTTACCACACTGACTGTATGTAATAGATCTGATCTGGTACACACCATTGCATACATCAAACACCTCACTGCACTGGCATAAGACACTTTTGACATCTCTGCAATTTCTTTTCATTCTTTGGGCACTGATTAGTAGATAATTTGAAATGATTTGCCAATAGTGTACCCACTGATATCGCATCAAACATGCTAAATCTTTTCAACACCTTCCTTAACTAATTTTTCTGAGACAACAATAATTTTCTAGCCTTCCTATCTCTATTGATATCAATGCTTCTTAACTGGTCCCAAGTTTTTCATATCAAACTTATTGCTCAACAAAGACTTCAATCTGTCTACCTCAACCATGCTCTTAGCAGCAATTAGCATATCATCCACACACAACATCAAAAAATATATGAATCATCCTTAAGACTTTATAGTAAACACAACAATCATACTCACAGCGACTGTAGCCAATCTGAATCATTTGGGAGTCGAACTTCTTGTACCATTGCCGTGGAGACTGCTTAAGCCCATATAAAGATCTTTTCAGTTTATACACAAGATTTTTTGTTCTTAGTTCCAAGAACCCCTCTAGCTGCTCCAATAAAATCTGTTCCTTCAAATCACTGTAAAGGAAAGAAGTCATAACATCCAGCTGCTCTAACACCAAATTAAAACTGGCCACCATTGTCAAGACAATCCTGATGGACGTGTGTCTGACGACATGAGAGAAAATCTCATCATAATCTACTCCCTTCCTCTGTAAGTATCCCTTATCTACTAATCGAGCCTTGTATCTTTTCCCTTCCTTTTCTGACATTACTTCTTTCTTTTTGTACACCCACTTACACCCTATCGGTCTCTTCCCTTCTGGGAGCTCCACCAAGTCCCACGCAACATTCTTATGCAATGACTAAATTTCCTCCATCATAGCCTCCATCCATTTACTTTTCTCTTGACTACCAACGACATCCTGAAAAGTTATTGGATCACTATTACTGATAATGAGTTCATAAGAAACTGAATCCTCGAATCCATACTTTGCCAGTGGCCTGATAGTGCGACGTGGTCTATCTATGGCAATACTGTGATACTGCTCCTCTTCTAAGCCAGAACTGTCTGCTCCTTGAGCATTGATCTCCATGTCAACGTTATCTAGCTCTACCTATACCACTTGACTCTTGCTGCTGCCCTTTCCTGAACTGAGCGTCTCCTTCTCTGGAGAAAATTTAATTATAAATGCTTCATCAAAGATTGCATCTCTATGGATCACCATCTTCTTTGCTTCTGGATCCCAAAATTTGTACCTTTTTACTCCTTTCACATAGCCTAGAAAAATGCAATTTCTTGATTTTGTATCGAACTTGGATCTCTGATCACTAGATATATGCACATAAGCCAAAGACTCAAATACTCTCAATCCAGGATAATCAACTTCAGTGCCTGTCCAAACTTCATCTGAAATTTTCCTATCTAGCGCTGCCGTGGTGATCTATTTATGATATAACATGCCACGTTTATTGCTTCTGCCCAAAAACACTTCAGAAGCCCTGCATTTAGCCTCCAACATCTTGCCCGTTCTGCAATTGTTCTGTTTATCCTCTCCCCTACACCATTTTGCCGTGGTGTCTTGCGAACTGTATAGTGCCCTGAATACCATGCTTTTCACAGAATTTGAGAAACTGTGAATCTGTGTACTCTGTACCGTTGTTCATCCTGAGATACTTCTTGCCTATCGGTTCTCTACCTCTATTTTCCACAATCTGAACTTGACATAGGTTTCGGATTTGTGCTTCATGAAATACACTCAAGACTTTTTTAAAGAAGCCGTCAAAGAAAGTATTGAAATATTGAGACCCATCCTTACACAACTCCCTTATTGGTCCCCAACAGTTTGTAAATATTCCCCAACAATTTCTGACCCTTCATCACAATCATAGCCCCTTTTTCACTGTCAAGACCCCACGCTCAAACTTATAAGAATAGCTTCTAGTGTCTAAAGTGCACAGAGAAATTAGATTCTTTCTAAACTCTGGTACATGCCTAACACCATCCAAAATCCTCACCACATCATCGAACATTTTAAATTTTATGGACCCTCTTCCAATGACCTTACATAATGCATCATTATCTATCAGAATAAATCCAAAATTACCCGAACGATATGAATCAAACCAATCTCGGTAGGGACGTGTGATATGAACAGGTTAAATCAAGTACCCAAGAGTCGTTAATCTGTTAGAATTACCTACAAAGACTGATAGTATGTCTCCATCTCTAGAATCCGAATCTCCTTCTGCAACACTAGCCGAATTTGAGGACACATTGCCTTTCTTTTTATCACCCTACTCCTTATTCGGACAGTCCATCTTAAAGTGATCCATCTAATGGCATTTGTAGCACTTGCTGTTTTTCTTGTTTTGATTTCTAGACTTCGATCTTGTATTTCCTTTGTAAGAACCACACCTATCGTTCTTTCTCCCACGATCCGGTAGCCTTTCACGATCAATCTTTCACCCTGTGAACTTTTGCCAATATGTAGTTTCTGCTGGTTGTAAGCTAACAAGGCTGATGTGACTTCATCCAATTCGAGTTTCTTTATCCCATATTAATGTGGTCACCAGGTGGTAGTATGGAGGAAGAAAGCACAACAATATCATTACCATGTCTTCATCATCGAACTTGACGATAGCTGATAATTTGATTGAACAGGTTGGTTTGTTGAATCAAATTTGTACCCTCAAGCATCTTGAGCTCGTATAGACGCCACTTCAGATGCAGTTTGTTCGTAATCTTTGACATGTAACGACTCTCCAATTTTAGTTAAACCTTCGCCGGAGACTCAAACGTCCATGACGTAATATATGATCTTGTTCGCCAAACAGAGCCGAATTGTACCCACTGCTCGCGCTTCCAGCTCTCCCCATTCGGGAACTGATGTAGCCTCCGGCTTCTTCCCAGGTAGCGCCTTCACCATCCCTTTTAGTGCCAACAAATCCTTCACCCTTCGCCGTCACAATCCGAAATTCCGAGTTCTGTTGAACTTCATCACATCAATTTTTGCAATCGAAGAACTCGCCATCTAGACCTGACGCTCTAATACAAGTTATTGGATATTATACGCAGTAATAAAGAAGTGAAAGAAAGAAATCAACACAGGAATTTAACGTGGTTCGGCAATATGTCTACGTCCACAAGGAACAAAATAGAGATAGTTTATTCAATATGAATAATATGGTTACATCATCAGTTTATATACTAACCGTAGCCCTAGCCCTACCCCATAAAAGACTTTTGGGCCCATACTACACAACATGTTCTTTGCCTTGTATTATCATGTTAAGCACGAGGTAAATGCTTGGTACAGTGAATCAGTTCAAGCAACTTTTGAAATTTCAAGTACACATTAAATGTGCTCCTTCAAATCCACTCACTAGAAACCAAATGACCAAATTTTCTTTACTTCCCTTTTCATCTCAAGTTTTAGCTGTGCCATAGACAAAGTGTTAGGTTTTCTGTTAAGTATCTAAAAGAGAACAGTATCAGGAAATCACCCTTCAGCGTGTGAGATCTACATCACTTATTGCAATCATCATCAGAGCAACAAAATTGCATTAACAATGGAAAAGGTGTCAGTGAACAGAGATTATAAATTGTGTCCCACAAATTCAACATGTATAAAAATCATGGATTGAAAAATTCTAATCATTACCTTTCCAGTAATCATCGTATACATATTGAGCACATCCAGAACAGTCGACTCAAAGTGAGTTGTTGCGTCATAACTCTGTCACATAGCAAAACAAGTGAAGCAATGTTAGGAAAGCTTGATAAAAAAGGTGTCTGCAAAATGACATTTGAAAGAAACTCACTGTCGATACAAAACAATTGTCAAGAGAGGGCTCGTTGACAGGTTCATATCTGTCATAGGTCTCAAAGAAGATCTCATCTGCTGGTCCTAGAAGATCGATCCCTGGCTTCAGTTCAATCTCAGGTTGATCAGTCTCTGCCTCTGTGGAGACAAATGCAATAAATTTCCCTTTCGGAGCAACATTATGAGAATAAGAACAACAAAACAGATACCTGCAGAGACAACAGTTCAAAACATGAGATATTAGAATGTTTACATATCTGAAAATGTTAGGTATTGCTGATCACATAAAAAATCAAATGAAAAAGAAGCACAACAGCTTGCATAAAATGTAAATGAAATAAAAATCTCATCAACCCAAGCACAGAACTAGATTTGACCTATGGCGTGATACACACTGAGACTTGTTGCCCTCCATGAATCAATTGGTCGATGAGTCAATTCAGTCCAAACCAGTTAATCAAAACAAAATCCTAATCAACTTATTATCTACTGAACAAGAGGAGGAAGATTTCATATATTAAAAAGCAGTAATTTCGATGGAATCATAGCATCTTTCTTGGAAGTCTTATGTATTTGAGAGCAAGCAATGCTCTTTGTTTCACACGGCAGTGACCATGAACTATTTTCTAACAAATTTCACAAATGAACTGCTTGCTGAGCAATTACTTTTTGCCTAACAAAAGAACTATAACGTATGCATATCAGAACCAAAAGCGTATCTATCTGCTTACTGTCATTCAAGAAGTAAATCTAGATATCCTTAACTGCAAAGGTAAGTGAGTACTAACATGTCTGATTTGCGACCCAACTGCTTCTGAGGCAGAATAACCTGCACTGAGTGAGAATTGTTGGTATTTGGGATAGGGTGGCTCATAATTGCAATAGCCCTTGCGACTTTGCCAACCTTCCTAACCTGCAAAAGCATGCCTCAGATTAATGTTTCCCATGTCCATGTCTAGTGTTTCTGAGTTCCAACAAATAGTTTGACTTTCAGAATCTAAACCCGGCTCTGGAATAAGGACTTTGGTTGCAGAACATGCATTTATAACATATTCCACAAGTATTGAACCCCAATAATACTTGTGCAGTCCTAAAGTACTCATAAATGGAGATAATAACAGGGGAAGTGACTCCTGACAAAATCATGGATCAAATGGACAATATATTGAAGTCCCAAATGACAAAGAGAATTACCTTGTTAGGCAAGTAAGAAGGATCACATATAACTTTCTCATTGTTGGATATGCGTTCCTAAACACCTTCTCCTTGTTTCTTCGGCCTCGAGTGAATAACATGCAGATCAAGTACAATAACATGGTAATAATAAAAGTTACAGAAATCGCCAAAAAAAAAAAAAAANTGTGTGTGCTTTGGGGGTGGCGGTGTCATGATGCCAGTACCTTGCACTCGGATTTATTCAACATGTAGGTCCCACCGTACACAGCGCTTAGACGAGCAAATGCCTAATGACATAGGAGTTGAAGTAAGTAGAAGGCTCCATAACAAGAAGATCAAAAATTTAAATCAGCAAAACCCCTAATGTAAACATGAGAGAGAGAGAGAGAGAGAGAGAGAGAGAGAAGAAAATAGAAGACAGGAGGAGGAGGAAAGAGTAGAGAAATAAACAAGCAAATAAATAAACATGCAACAAATTTCCTGTAAATAGTTATTGAAGAAAAATGCAGACCTGGGGAAGCTCTCCCAGGCCATACAAAGGATAGATATATGGAGATCCTCCTGCAAAACGTGCTAGAGATTCCGCATAAAGCTGTCACATGTTCACAAGTAAATTTTTCAGAAAGCAATAAAAGAAGTCCGCACACTCCTGTATCTATTCAAGAATCCCAAAGAAAAAACCAAAATCAGAACCGCAAAATGAAACGAGAGGAAAAGTGGCGACTCAATTGGGTTTCTTGGAAGTAGGAGAAGTGTCAATCCAAAGCTGGTTTGTCTAGGTAGTGGTCATCTCTGTGGAGAGCAAATGCATGACCAATAACGTCGACAGTGTTGTCACCAAGAGCATACTTTCTGTCAGAAATTCAGAATATTGTAAGCAACAAATATACATATGAAACTAACCAATGTGTCTCTGTTCAAGATACATCTATCACTCGTGGACACCTGCTTTATTTCAAAAGCAGGTTTTATGTAACATTCATCCAACAAAAAATAATCAACTGACAGCATTATTCAATGACTATATCATTGCTTTCTATTAGGATACAAGATTTACTTTAAAGACAGGTTGTATTCATTACACACGTAGAAGAAATATCTTACCGAAAACAAAATTTAATTTGAATGAACATCCAAACAATAAAAATGGCAGCTCATGTTATTTAGAGATTACTTGGCTCCGGTTTAATAAACTTCCATGTAATAACTCTCCGAAGTAATGTAGAACGTTGTTTCCCCTGAATAAAGGATCTTTCCCCTTCAATTCTTCAAGGTGAACAAAAATGATTACATGTGTGCACTACTCTTAGTACTTGTATCTGTTATCATTCACCCTCTATTTCCTTTCCATGGTTAACATCTGAAGGGATAATTTTTTCTCCCTGAGGTTTGTCTTAGAAAAGTTACAGCATGCAGTCAAAGCCAAGAATCAGATGTGCCATGTGAAAAGCCCACATTATACACATTTAACTAGAAATAAGAAATAAACAGAGCCTCAATAAACTAGAAACTGCAAGAACATCGTTTTCATAAAATTCGTCGAGTGCTATGTTATGCAACCAAAGAGAGAGTAAAAATAACACCATACACAATGAGCTCTCTAGTCGTCACTCTCGTCAAATCTAGTCCTTCGTGCGTTTCAGGATTCTTTTCATCATAATCTTGGACAAACTTGATGAATTTACTAGCCCGGCGCTTCTCAAATAAACCCATGAGAGGAGATTTAAGGGCCTCCATGTCAGTTGCTGGCACCTTGTGAACCTATTTCATGAAGTTACCACAAAATCAGGTGAGCGTTGATGTTGATAACTGAAGTTAAACCAAAAACCAACATCTAGCCAATCATATACCTTCCCTTTGTTATACACATAGCTGCCATCAACAGCTTTGAAGTACAAATATTTAGTTACATCAGTATGAATAAGGACCCGTACAAGAGCCCCATTTGCCATGATAAACTGAAAACGTAAATGGGCCAGAATCCATGAATAATAAGAACAAATGAAAATTACTGAAGAACATCCAAAAGATAAAGAGAATGGAAACCTTAGGGATCATGTCAACATTATAATCTCTACTAGAACCCAAGTGAGCTGGAGGCTTATCACTTCCTCTAAACCTTTTCCAGAGCTGTAAATTGTCAATCCCCAGCAACAAAATCAGAACAATGATGGCACCACACTTAATATAGTGAGAAAGAGAGAAGAAGGAAATGAAATCACACCTGAACAAGATTGAGTGAAGTTGATTCTCCACCATAATAGTCATTCCTATCCATATGAAGGACCTGTTTAGCGAGGGAAAATTTCAAGTCAGAAGACTTCTAGAATATACATACTAGCTAAAAGTAAATGATACAAAATCAAAGAAATGTCTTAGAATTTTAAGTAGACTATTGCAAGAATGAGTTAAAGCCTAAAGCTTTTGAGTTCCATAATTATCTAGCAGGTAACCCTACAGATAACATAAAAATAGAGAAAAATTATAAACAATTTTCACAGAATCTAGCTTATGGTATAATCGCTTCCATCCTTATTGAAATGAAATGTCATTTTTAGAATAAAGGCAGCACCATAAGTAGCTTACAGCACTCGGATAGAGGTAATGAATGATACGAGGAAAAAAATCAAGTGAAGTTAATGAGATCAGTGGGTAAAATATTCGTAACTGGTTCAATATGCCAGCTAAACAACTGAAATAGTCAACAAATTCAGATCAAAACCAAAATATCTTCTGTTCCCGAAATAAAACGCCTCTTGAGAACATTAAACGAAATATATACCATCCAAATCTCCAGATTCTCGTACTTCCAGAATTGAAAGTAGTTACATGAAACTTCAATTATATTGGTATCCCACCACAGAATTATGAACACATATATTGACATGACCACTCACACTTACCCAAAAATAATTCTTCCAACAAATGATCAGATATCAGTAGGCAATAGATTTATAATGTGAATACCTTAAATATGTTACTGTGAGCAGGAATGCAAGTACAAGTAAAACTTTATACTCAAATCATTGCCATAAAAGCAAATGCTCAACATAAAATAAATAAGAGCTCTTCTAAATTTCACCTGAATACTCCATATAGTTATACAAACCAAAAGACAAGACTGAAAAAAAAAATGCATTTAAGCTAATGAATGACACCACATCGTGCACTACTCATTCCATACATTAGTCCAGCATTTCATCATGCAAGAAAAGATTAAAAAACTTATCTTTCTTCTAAGTTAACTAAATAAATAGTATATTCGGGATATAATTTGTTTAAATCTAATCAATTAAGTCATAATTTTATGGGAGATTACCAATCACGTGACAGAATTTATTAAATCTTACTGTCAATTAAGTCATAATTTTATGGGAGATTACCAATCACGTGACAGAATTTATTAAATCTTACTGTGCAAGAATTGCCATTTACTTCTGAACATTAAACATATAACAAATAAGTATATAAAGAAAAATGTAAGACATATTCTCCCGAAACCTAAAAACCAATAAATTTAGGGAAGAAACAGAAATTCATCACCTTAAAAAAGGGAGTTATGTTCAATTATTCCCCGTAATAATCCTTATGGAAGTTACTGACAAACTGGCTCACATCGTTGAGTAGCTCCTTTGCTGAGCTACAAGCTTAGTACGGTCACTATCAGTTGTGCGAAAGTAAGATATGGTCTACAATCAGACAACTCAATCCCCTGCTTATTCCCTTATATTACTTAGTAAAACAAGCTTTCTCGCTAGTCACTCGCTATTTCAAAGTGAAACAATTTTCTCCTTGTTTCCTTTCATTTTATCCTCTCCCAAAGTTAAACCTTCCAAATTAAAGGCATTGAATGATGCAGAAATTTTTGAGGAAGTGGAGAAAAATTGAAATATGTATAACTATTTTGAATGAAACCAAACTCACCTCTTTATGGCTTATCTAAAATGGACAATTTTTTTTTCAACAATAAATAATCATGGAATCAGAACAATGACTAATAAAGGGATAAAAGTATCCTCTAATCTTCAAATAGGAAAAGTGAAGTCGAGGATGCAATACATATTTACAACGAGGATAACTAAAGAGAATGAATGCCCTTGAACAGTTAAACTGCTAATCCTCAGGAATGCATAAGAATGATAAAAAAAAAAAAAGGTAGATCCACTCATAAGGTTCTTGCTCTTATGCTTCAAATATCCTATTGTTTCTCTCTATCCATGTCACCTGGAAAATAGCTGAAACTACCAACTTCCACATGATCACACCCTTTTTACCCTTACTGAATACTGAAGCCATTTGATCAGCAAAATTCTTATCCAAAACTAGGTCCGTGAATTCTGAACTTAAACAAATTCCAATTTTAAATGGATCATTAGATTGAATGGCCGTATTTCCCATAAGTCAGATTTTTAGCATAAAAAAGAACCAAGGAAATGGAAATGAATTGTTACTTAGTGTAGGACTTGGCCCCGAAACAAGTGAAGATACATGGTTTGTAAGCATTGATCAACTAAATAGACATAAATACTAATACGATCTCATATAAAGACAATCAAATGATCCATAACTCTCGATATGCTAAATAGACATAAATACTAATACGATCTCATAACTCTCGATATGCAAACAATTGATAATTGAAAAAATAAATATGTGATGAATATTAGGGAATAACAATTTCATCTATTGATCACATTTATTTTTAATTCAAGATTCATATTCTAATGTAGTGTTCAATCGAATTCTTCTACTGTATTCAATTTACCCATCTCGAGTTCTCATGGAGCCTATTTAACTAATTCAATTTCATATCTCTATGCAATTCAATTTTAGTTAAACGAAACAATAGATCTAAGAATTCAAATTTTGACCGCAATAATTAATATATGTATCTCTACACATTATACTTATTTACCGGATTTTATTATATGGTTTAAATCTCAAACTCACCTCTCGATTCGTAAGAAACTCACATAATCATCAAATTATTGATCAGATAATTTAATACATTAAACTCATAATAAAATCAACACATAAATAAATAAACCACAGAAGTCTTAAAAAAAAAGGATCAAGTCGACTAGATTGTTTTCCCTAATATAAAAATTAGTTATTCATATTGCAAGAATAGAAATAAGAAAAAGTGGAAAGATATTACCAAAAATTGATCAAACGTGAAAAATTTTGGTGGTACAATTTCTTCTCTCTTCTCTCTTCTATTTCTTTTCTGCTGGTTTTTTCTCTTCTGTTTGACTTTTCTCCATTTCTTTCTTTTTTTTCTCTCTCTTCTTTTCTTTCTTTCTTTCTTCCTTCCTTCCTTTATCTCCCCTTTTCTTTTCTTCTCACTGTTCTGTACCATTTCCGCCGCTTGGCTTCTTTTCCTCTTCTATTTTCTCTTTCTTT